GGTTCCTATTGCGTAGGTCACAATGCTGAGGTCCTATTGCTGAGGTCAGAATGCTGAGGTCCTATTTCTGAGGTCGCAATGCTTAGGTCACAATGCTGAGGTCCTATCTTAGGTCGTATTGCTGAGGTCAAAATGCTGAGGTCCTCTTGTTGAGGTCCTATTCTGAGGTCCTATTGCTGAGGTCCCAATGCTGAGTCACAATGCTGAGGTCCTATTGCTGAGGTCCTATTGCTGAGGTCACAATGCTGAGGTAACAATGTTGAGGTCACAATGCTGACGTCACAATGCTGAGGTCCTATTGCTGAGGTCCTCTTGCTGAGGTCACAATGCTGAGGTCCTATTTCTGAGGTCGCAATGCTTAGGTCACAATGCTGAGGTCCTATTGCTGAGGTCGTATTGCTGAGGTCAAAATGCTGAGGTCCTCTTGTTTAGGTCCTATTTCTGAGGTCCTATTGCTGAGGTCCCAATGCTGAGGTCCTATTGCTGAGGTCCTATTGCTGAGGTCCTATTGCTGAGGTCCTATTGCTGAGGTCACAATTCTGATGTCACAATGCTGAGGTCCTATTACTGAGGTCCTATTGGTGAGGTCACAATGCTGAGGTCACAAGCTTTGGTCCTATTGCTGAAGTCCTATTGCTGAGGTCACAATTCTAATGTCACAATGCTGAGGTCCTATTGCTGAGGTCCTATTTCTGAGGTCCTATTTGCTGAGGTCACAATTCCTGAGGTCACAATGCTTAGGCCACAATGCTGAGGTCCTATAGCTGAGGTCACAATGCTGAGGTGCTATTGCTGAGGTGATATTGCTGAGGTCACAATGCGGAGGTCCCTTTTGCTGAGGTCCTATTTCTGAGGTCCTATTGCTGAAGGTCGCAATACTGAGTTCCTATTGCTGAGTCCTATTGCTGAGGTCCTATGCTGAGGTCACAATGCTGAGGTCACAATGCTGAGGTCCTTTTGCTGAGGTCACAATGCTGAGGTCACTATTCTGAGGTCACAATGCTGAGGTCCTATTGCTGAGGTCACAATGCTGTGGTCACAATGCTGAGGTCACAATGCTGAGGTCCCATTGCTGAGGTCACAATCCTGAGGTCACCATGCTGTGGTCCTATTGCTGAGGTCCTATTGCTGAGGTCACAATGCTGTGGTCACAATGCTGAGGTCACAATGCTGAGGTCCCATTGCTGAGGTCACAATCCTGAGGTCACCATGCTGTGGTCCTATTGCTGAGGTCCTATTGCTGAGGTCCTATTGCAGAGGTCACAATGCGGAGGTCCTATTGCTGAGGTCCTACAGCTGAGGTCACAATGCTGAGGTCTTATTGCTGAGGTCAGAATGCTGAGGTCCTATTTCTGAGGTCGCAATGCTGAGGTCACAATGCTGAGGTCCTATTGCTGAGGTCCTATTGCTGAGGTCCCAATGCTGAGGTCCTATTGCTGAGGTCCTATTGCTGAGGTCCTATTGCTGAAGTCACAATGGTGAGGTCCTATAGCTGAGGTCACAATGCTGAGGCCACAATGCTGAGGTCCTATTGCTGAGGTCCTATTGCTGAGGTACTATTGCTGAGGTCACAATGCTGAGGTCCTATTGCTGAGGTCCTATTGCTGAGGTGCTATTGCTGAGGTCACAATGCTGAGGTCACAGTGCTGAGGTCCTATTGCTGAGGTCCTATTGCTGAGGTCCTATTCCTGAGGTCACAATCCTGAGGTCACAATGCTGAGGTGCTATTGCTGAGGTCACAATGCAGACTTCACCATGCTGAGGTCCTAGTGCTGAGGTCCTATTTCTGAGGTCCTATTGCTGAGGTCACAATGCTGAGGTCCTATTGCTGAGGGTCACTATTCTGAGGTAACAATGCTGAGGTCCTATTGCTGAGGTCCTATTGCTGAGGTCACAATGCTGAGGTAACAATGCTGAGGTCACAATGCTGAGGTCACAATGCTGAGGTCCTCTTGCTGAGGTCCTCTTGCTGAGGTCACAATGCTGAGGTCCTATTGGGTCAATTGCTGAGGTCACAATTGCTGAGGTCACAATGCTGAGTCCTATTGCTGAGGTCCTATTGGTGAGGTCACAATGCTGAGGTCACAATGCTTTGGTCCTATTGCTGAAGTCCTATTGCTGAGGTCACAATTCTGATGTCATAATGCTGAGGTCCTATTGCTGAGGTCCTCTTGCTGAAGTCACAATGCTGAGGTCTATTACTGAGGTCCTATTGCTGAGGTCCTATTGCTGAGGTCACAATCCTGAGGTCACAATGCTGAGGCCACAATGCTGAGGTCCTATAGCTGAGGTCACAATGCTGAGGTGCTATTTCTGAGGTGATATTGCTGAGGTCACAATGCGGAGGTCCTTTTGCTGAGGTCCTATTTCTGAGGTCCTATTGCTGAGGTCGCAATACTGAGGTCCTATTGCTGAGGTCCTAATGCTGAGGTCCTATTGCTGAGGTCACAATGCTGAGGTCACAATGCTGAGGTCCTTTTGCTGAGGTCACAATGCTGAGGTCACTATTCGGAGGTCACAATGCTGAGGTCCTATTGCTGATGTCCTATTGCTGAGGTCACAATGCTGTGGTCACAATGCTGAGGTCACAATGCTGAGGTCCCATTGCTGAGGTCACAATCCTGAGGTCACCATGCTGTGGTCCTATTGCTTGAGGTCCTATTGCTGAGGTCACATTGCAGAGGGTCACAATGCGGAGGTCCTATTGCTGAGGTCCTATTGCTGAGGTCACAACGCTGAGGTCCTATTGCTGAGGTACTATTGCTGAGGTCACAATGCTGAGGTCCTATTGCTGAGGTCCTATTGCTGAGGTCCTATTGCTGAGGTCACAATGCTGAGGTCACAATGCTGAGGTCCTTTTGCTGAGGTCCTATTGCTGAGGTCCTATTGCTGACCTCACAATGCTGAGGTCACAATGCTGAGGTGCTATTGCTGAGGTCACAATGCAGAGTTCACCATGCTGAGGTCCTAGTGCTGAGGTCCTATTTCTGAGGTCCTATTGCTGAGGTCACAATGCTGAGGTCCTATTGCTGAGGTCACTATTCTGAGGTCCCAATGCTGAGGTCCTATTGCTGAGGTCACAATGCTGAGATCCGATTGCTGAGGTCACAATGCTGAGGTCACAATGCTGAGGTCCTTTTGCTGAGGTCATAATGCTCAGGTCACAATGCTGAGGTCCTATAGCTGAGGTCACAATGCTGAGGTCTTATTGCTGAGGGTCACAATGCTGACGTCACAATGCTGAGGTCCTATTGCTGAGGTCACAATGCTGAGGTCACAATTCTGATGTCACAATGCTGACGTCCTATTGCTGAAGTCCTATTGCTGAGGTCACAATGCTGAGGTCCTATTCCTGAGGTCACAATGTTGAGGTCCTATTGCTGAGGTCCTACTGCTGAGGTCACAAGGCTGAGGTCACAATGCTGAGGTCCTATTGCTGAGGTGTTGCCGACTGAAGGAAGACCCAGCACATCAATATGAGTGAACAGTGAACTTCAGCTTTAATGGATAGCTCAGTCATCTTTTATCTAGTTCGAACATAATCAACTCATACATATTGCAGAAACTAAGCTCAGGATTGGTTAACACTTCCCGGGCTTTTCAGTCTGGTCCTCCTTCTTTTTGGCTACCTGTCCCACCTTAGGGACTTTCCCGATGGCCCAAGGGCATCGGTCCTTGAGCCTGATTGGCTCTCAGCCAGCTGCATACGTGCCAAGGCTCATGTGAGTTGAGTGCGGTGCTTCACCAGCCCATTGTCTCCCAACTGCTCAACATTCACATGTCCTGCCTCACTTAACGATTCCTCCACACTGAGGTCCTATTGCTGAGGTCACAATGCTGAGGTCACAATGTTGAGGTCACAATGCTGAGGTCCTATTGCTGAGGTCCTATTTCTGAGGTCCTATAGCTGAGGTCACAATGCTGAGGTCCTATTGCTGAGGTCCTACTGCTGCGGTCCTATTGCTGAGGTCACAATGCGGAGGTCCTATTGCTGAGGTCCTATTGCTGAGGTCCTATTGATGAGGTCGCAATACTGAGGTCCTATTCCTGAGGTCCTGTTGCTGAGGTCCTATTGCTGAGGTCACAATGCTGAGGTCCTATTGCTGAGGTCCTTTTGCTGAGGTCACAATGCTGAGGTCACAATGCTGAGGTCACAATGGCTGAGGTCCTATTGCTGAGGTCACAATGCTGTGGTTACAATGCTGAGGTGACAATTCTGAGGTCCCATTGCTGAGGTCACAATGCTGAGGTCACCATACTGTGGTCCTATTGCTGAGGTCCTATTGCTGAGGTCACAATGCGGAGGACCTATTGCTGAGGTCCTATTGCTGAGGTCCTACTACTGAGGTCACAATGCTGAGGTCTTATTGCTGAGGTCCTATTGCGTAGGTCACAATGCTGAGGTCCTATTGCTGAGGTCACAATGCTGAGGTCCTATTGCTGAGGTCCTATTGCTGAGGTCCTATTGCTGAGGTCACAATGCTGTGGTCACAATGCTGAGGTCACAATGCTGAGGTCCCATTGCTGAGGTCACAATCCTGAGGTCACCATGCTGTGGTCCTATTGCTGAGGTCCTATTGATGACGTCCTATTGCAGAGGTCCCAATGCTGTGGTCCTATTGCTGAGGTCCTACTGCTGAGGTCACAATGCTGAGGTCTTATTGCTGAGGTCCTATTGCTGAGGTCC